TGAACACATTGCAACCATGCTTGGGACGGCCCACATAAACGAGCCAAAATGCTTTACATGTCTTGAAATAATAATTTCTTAACATTAAACACTGACTGTCAGTATTTATTCACCTGTTTCTCGTCGTTTATCATTAAAATTTATTAAAGTAAATAGTGTGAATTACATCACTAATGTCATAGAATAGCACATTGTAACGCTGTGTTACAACGTGCCCCATCTGCGCAACTGGAATTTAAAACTGGTTAGTGTCTTCTGATAGTTAGCCAAGCATTAAAAAATAATCTCAACTGATAAATAACAGATTGGAGATTAAAATAATAGCAGATTTGTCTAATTTTAAATGAGTAATAAAAACTGAGATGAAAAATGTACTTAAGCCAGAAATATAATTTTACTATGGTAAAATAAATGTTCAGCGATATCTTCAAAAAAGGTTTGAATTTTGGTGCACTTTTTTTCTCTCTATGATGTTGATATGGTAACTCCAGAGATGGCTGAACATTTGGTTATGCTAGCATGTGTGGAAATATTTAAACTACGTGTGTTACAACTTACCCCGCGTTAAATTTGTGCCCCGCGCTCCCCTACTTTTTTCATCATTTTGTTGAAAGTGTTTGCATGGACATTAAGAGCACAGAAACTTACCATCTAGCTGACAAAGTGAGCAAGATGTCTGTTAAAGATCTCTTGATCTGGAAAGCATCTGCTGTGTACAAACATCTGACAGATGTCTTAGACGACATCTAATATACGTCTATTATACATCTGATAAGAAAACGTCCAATAGACGTATTGCAGATGAGCAAACACTCAACAAAATATGTCTTGCAGATGTAAATGCAGACATCAAATAGATGTCTCCGTGATGTACGTGTGCTATCAGGGTACTAACATATTTAACTTACACATTTTCATAGTGTTATATTACCCAGATAGCACACGTACGTCTGCAATATGTCTGTTAAAGATCTCTTGGTCTGGAAAGCATCTACTGTGTACAGACATCTAATATACGTCTATTTCACATTTGATAGGAAATGTCCAATAGACGTATTGCAGATGAGCAAACACTCATAATACGCCTTGCAGATGTAAATGCAGACGTCAAATAGATGTCTCTGTGATGTATGTGTGCTATCAGGGTAATGTTCATTATAATGAAATTATAAAGTATAAAGTAGGTTATGGTCCATTTTTATGTGGACTTTTGAGGTCACTCAATATGTTATGAGAGACCGCTGATGGAGGGGTATAGCAAGTGACAATACAGTATGTTATTCTAATTATTTTCATCTGTTTGTTGTTATCAACCTGGCGAAAACGTACCTCTGAGAACTTTTTCGCAAGACGTGAAATAGTACCACCATGTTCTTTCATGACATATTCGATGTGAAATTTCCACTGACTAGCACTAAAAGAGTGTTTGTTTGTTTTCTCGCCCGGAACAGATGAACGTAGGCTACGTATGGTACGTTTGATGTGATTATGGTTTTGTAGGTGTCACCGCAGTTCTAACTTACAATGTCCATTGAGTGGCGCTATAAGTCTAATGCTCCGTAACATTTTAAAATAATGTAGCCTACCATCTGCACTACACCTAAACCTACCTTTTTGTTTATTTATTTTGTATTAAGAACATTATATAAACAAAGATAAAAGCAGTCACAATGTAGAACAAATAAACAAAAAAAAATAAGAAAAGAAAAGAGAAGAAGAAAAAAAAATACTACAGGGTACAAGACAGGGGTAACTAATCACAAAAGATGACATCAAAGGAAAAGATTAAAAGACTTACAAATTTCAATTGTTTTTACACGAGTTAAAGATAGTCCCAAAGTAATGCTGCAATTCAGCAAGCAAAACATAAAAAAGTGGTTTTTGACCTGAAAATTTACATTTATGTATATAAAATTTTGTTAATAAAATAAGATTAAGTAAGTATATTTTGTTTTTCAGTAAATGTTCTTTTTTCCAATTAACAATTCCAAACAAAACATTTTAACATACAAGTAAAGAAAAATCCTTATCAATGTTCTCAGTAACAAATAGGGAAAAGTCTTTCCACAATAATTTAGAGTAATGGCAAAGCCAAAATAAATGCACAATAGTCTCTGGGTGCTGTTTGCAAAAAGAACAATTTGTATCAATATCTTTTTTGAATTTCTTTAAGAAGGTATTAACAGGATATACACACGATGGACAATACGAAAGGAAACTTCTCTTATCTTATTAGTAATTAAGTAACTATTTGGAATCAGCCAAATTTTCCTCCAGGCAATATCAAAAACAAAGGCATTCCAATAAACTGTCACATTTGGAATTGAAACATTTTCCTTGAGAAATAATAAACGTATTGATCTATTAGAAGAAGTGGATGAAAAGCAATATTTCCCCACCATTGTAACAGTAGGGTCTAAAGAAGGTAAGATAGAGGGGTAGGGGATATGTTGAAATAGTCTAATAACTCCAGATGGTATGGCATCGAATAACACCTAAACCTACCTGATAGTATGAACTAAAGTGAATGTGACGTAAAAACAATCGCAAGCATGCCGTTTTAGCTTGTTTTTCGATCTGTCATCTTTCAGCTCTTTCGTCGTGAGTCATGTTTTTGAAAGGATTCGTACCCAAGGATTCTGCATCCTAAGTCAAATTCCGTGCTGGCTGATCTACCTAGCAAGCTTGTTACATCCAGAAAGCGAAACATATGGAGCTGTAATCATAACTGTATACGAAAACGATTACAAGTGCTTACTGTTTTACCGCCTCTAGTGTTCATTTCTGTTGGAAACTGCAGTGATATGTACTTATTGGTATGTATTTCACGTCTTGCGAAAAAGTTCCCAGAGGTACGTTTTCGTCATGAAACCAGGTAGACAAATATGTATATAACAACAACAATAATAATGGTAACACTTTATAATAACTTTCATTTATAAATCATTAACAAACATTTTATAATGCTTAACAGATCATTAGTTAATATATATTCACATAGCTAGAAATATGAGATACTGTTCTTGTTAATGTTTACTAATTAACTTACTAAATATTACCTAATGATTAACAGATATATGATTAGGCTATTTAATGTGAATTGAAACGCTTACAAATGTCTGTAAACTTTCAGTTCATATGATCTTCATTTGTTGGTCTTTTTTGTTGTGTAGACCTCTATTTACACATCTTAACAAATAATCTATTAATAATTTGTTCATGCTTTTGCAGTACCCAATCTAAAGTGGAAACTATTCATCATTTGCAAATGTTTATAAATGTTTACTAATCATTAATACCTTTATGAACAGTCATCTTGATGGCAAGAAGTGTCCCAAAAGACCTGAATTTACCCTATTATTCCTTGCATTATAAATAAGCAGGGGAAAACACATTTTTAAAATGAAATACTTGTTCATTTATCAAAACAATATAATATAAACAGATTGAACCGTGTTCCCTTATAATAATCAAATTGACCCCTGTACACTGTTGACCCTTTAACCAACTCTTAAACCTACCTACCAAACCTGTCCCTAACTTTACCCGTATCACACCTCAATAGCAGCTGAAGTGTTGTGCATTAACACAAGCTTTTAATCATTTTATAACATCTGTTAAAATCATTTGTAGATTTTCAATATGTGCTTGATCATATGGAATTTAAAGTTGAATGACATTTGTAAGTATATTAACTTATATGAAATAATGATTTGTTTGAACATTTTCTAATGTTTAATAAGTTTATTAGCAAACATTAACAAGCACGTTATCTCATGTTTCTAACTCTTTGAATATATATTAACTAATGATCCATTAAGCATTGTATAATGTCTGGTAATGATTTATTAATGAAAGTTATTATAAAGTGTTACCATAATAATAATACAATTTTTTCCTCTCTCCACCTCAGCTGAGAATAAGAGTCAGGGAACAAGCAAAAACTGTTTGAGGATTGTGCTTGTTGGAAAAACAGGAAATGGAAAAAGTGCCTCAGGAAACACTATACTCAACAAAGAAGCATTTAAATCAAGTTGCAGTCTGAAAGCAGTGACATCCTCATGTCAGAAAGAAGAGGGGTTTGTTAATGGAACTCCAGTTGCTGTTGTTGATACTCCAGGCCTGTTTGACAAACAGCAGTCAAATGATGTAATCAAGGAAGAGATACTGAAGTGCATCACACTCCTCTCTCCAGGACCTCATGTGTTCCTGCTGGTGATAAGAATTGGAAGATTCACAGAAGAGGAGACAAAAACTCTGAACCTGATCAAGGAAACTTTTGGAAAAAATGCTGGCATGTTTAGCATCATAATATTCACCCATGGTGATCAGTTGAAAGATCAGACCGTTATGAGTTACCTGGAAGATGCTGACTCAGATATGAAGAAACTGATCAGAGATTGTGGAGGAAGATATCATGTGATTGACAATACAAAACAAGACAAAACAAGACAGGTCAGTGAATTATTTGATGCAATCAATAGAATGGTGAAGAAAAATGGTGGAGGATGTTACACCAATGAGATGTTCAAAGAAGCTGAGGCTGCCATACAACATGAAATGGAAAAAATATTAAAGGAAAAGGAGGAGGACATGGAGAGAGAGAGAAAATGTATACATGAAAAACACAAGGAGGAGATGGCAAAGATGAAGAGAAGAATATCAGAACAAAGAGAGCAAATGAAACAAGAGAGGAAGATAAGAGAGGAAGAACTCAGACTCAAGGAAGAGTTATTGCGAAATGAACTTAAGAGAAGAGATGAACAAGAAGAGAAAGAGAAAAAAGGAAAACAACAAGCTGAAGAGCAAAGAAAAATTGAAGAAGAGAAGAAAAAGCAGCAATGGAACAGGAAAGAACAAGAATTAGAAAAGAAACAGATAAAATTAGAGAAAGAGCAACGAAAGAGAAACCAGGAATATGCAGAGAAGTATGAGAGAGAGAGAAGAGAAATGGAGAAACTTCACGAAGAGAGACTAAAGAGACAACATGAGGAAGAATACCAGAAAAGACTTAAAGAGGAGAGGAGTGAATGGCAGCTGAAAGAAAAGAAAATGACTGAAGAATTTGAACAAGAAAAAAGAAAAAGAGAAGAAAAGGAGAATGAGAGGATTGAGAAGGAGCTTAAAGAAAGAGAGAGAATTGAGGGAGAGTATGAGAACAGCAAATTAGAGATGAGAAAACAAAAAGAAGAATGGGAAAAATCATGGAAGGAGCAATGGGATAAAAGAGTGAGAGAGGAGAAGAAGAGGAAGGAAGAGGAGAAAGAGAAACTTAGAACGCTCGAAAAGGCATTTGAACGAGAGCGTAAAATAGAGGAGGAGAGGAGAAAGAAAGAAGATAAAGCCAGACGAGAACAGGAGGAGCAAGAACGAAAAGAAATGGAAGAAAATTATGAAAGGAAATTAAAAGAAATGAAGAGAAAGTATGAAGATGAGGCTAGAAAACAAGCAGAGGAATTCAATGAATTCAGAGAGAAATATAAGAAAGCCTTTCATGCTCTCATGTTAAAGCATGATTTAGAGATGCAGGAGCTGAAGCTAAAGCATGAAAAAGAGTGTCATGAGTATGAAAAGGAGTGCAGTGTAATGAGTGAACTCTCAAAGCAAAAAGAGAAAAATCTGAAGGAAAAAATTAAAGAAACAGAAGAGAAACATCAAAAAGAGGTTGATGACCTGAAGAAGAAGTATGAGGATAAATGTGTTTTACTGTAGGATATCCTTACTCGATTTATGGCCTGACATGAATAAGGTTAGAAATAATCTCAAGGTTACCATTACCACAACGGCATTAATGATTCTTTTATTTTTTAAGAAATACGAAATTTAGCAGTGAGTATTTTGTGTGTCCAGCAGCTGCTTTAAGTACTACAGTGCATCTCATTCTCATGGACTGCACCAGATTTGCCCGTTCTTGCTGTGAGCTGTTACTTCACTCTTTCACCAAGCCATTTACAAGTTCTCAGACACATCTTGGGGCAGGGCCGGACTGGGACGCAATTTCAGGCCGGGAAATCTCACACTCATCCAGGCCACACAGGAAAAAAGGGGCCAAAATATACCTTTTGGGGTACAACAGCTTGACACTGTAGCAGTAGGCCTACACTGTACATATTAGTACATTAAGAGTAGTAATTCGTACCCTTAAGGTACTAATTTGTAGGCCTACCTATTAGGGGTAAAAAAAGGAACAAATATGTCATTTTAAGGTTACTGTTCCAGTGACAAGCTGTTGTACCACAAAAGGTGCAATTTTGGCCCCTTATTTCCTGTATATAGCCTATACATCCACAACAATTTCTGAGACCAGACAACCCTGTTATTTGTATGGCCATCACATAAAAAAAGGTCTAAATCCTTAGTCTGGGGCTATGGAAAACAATTAAAGGTTCTCTCTTGC